TGCAGAGCGCGGCACCTGCAGCTCTCACCTCAATCTCAAACAAAGTTTTTTGTTTTTCGCAGTGTTTCAATCTAATCTTTGAATGCTGACAGTTTTCTCAATTCGTATTGAAATTGTTGCTCTCATTTGAGCGATAAATTGTGCTCTATGCTCATTTCTTCGACTACGATTCCAAGTTGAACTTGAAAAAACGACTAGGTTTGTTGAGTTTGAAAGCTGGTGAAATTTTCCTCGGTTGCCTTGAAGTATTGCTTCATTCAACACTTCAAGTCACAAATATTCCATGCGCCTCGTTTTTCCAACCTTTCCTGAAAAGAGAGTAAAGAAGCGAGCTTGGTGGTACGAAACATTGCTAAGCAACAAAAACTCTCAAATTCTGATTACAGTCATCATTGAAACAAAGGCAAATAATAATGCAACGACAATAAAAAACAAAAAAGCTGCATTAGCTTTCGACGCAGCTAGACTTCCGGGCCTGCGACAGCGGGTCTCAAAGGCGTAAAATTTGCAAAGCATCCGTCATCTCCGAGGAGACCGAATGGTACGTTCTCAGAGGCGAGTGTATATATTTAGGTATCGTAACCAATTGATTATTCATTCACTATTTTGATCAGCTAATAAACTACTGAGCATTCCCCTGTGTCCGGTTCGACTCAACAGGCAAGGACTACAACAATCCGCAACACTGAATCCGGAAATCCACATTCTAAGGCGCGGATACGGCGAGAACATGCGTTTTCCAAAGCCTTACAATTTGAAATTCGACGGTCGCCGCCAAGGCTGACAAGGGAAGGATACTTGGTGACCGTGGCCTTTTACAATGTGAAGTAAACCAATAGATGTGCTTTGAAACGCTGATTCCAAATTTATGTTCATTGTCTGCGGTGCTACTCCCTGAACGAAGGTATGGACTTTTTTCCATATTGATTTTGCGAAATTCAGGCAGTCAAAATCGTCGTATCCAGGCTTTTTAGACTCTGATGTTTCGGTGACAGTTTTCCTGAGCTTAACGTTAAGCTTTACTTTATCTGTACGCTCTGTTGTAGCGCGTAAGCGAACATTTCAACGATATTGGTGAATCCTGCATCAAAAGCAGTGCAAATTTTGGTGACAAGAAATGTTCATAACTTCTTTCAGAAGAGCGCACAGCAGATACCGAAAGCAGATTTGAAATCAGCGCTTCAAGATGCATTTATTGGTGTACGTTTCATTTCAAAACGCCACGGTCACCAAGTATCCTTTCCTTGTGAGACAGAGTCACTGCCTGATAGTTTTCCAACACGACTAATCATGACTAACTATCACAACCGAAACTCTGCCCGAGCCCAAGAGCGGGGGGGGGGAAGGTAAATGGGGAGTTGGCGAAGTTCGCCGTGCGGGCGCATTTTTTTTTAGCGAGAGGAGGCCAAATCGACTTGTTGTGATGGCCTAGATAGTGGGCCTTATAGTAGATGTGAAGTGCCGTGCAACCTCAATTTTGGTGAGACACTGCCTTTAAAGCCAGTGTCCGGGCAAAAACTCGATTTTGAGATCTTGTGCTTACTTGGGCCCATTCACTACGCTGAATCCGAAAATGCACATTGTAGAGCGCGAAAATGGCGAAAAACGGCTCTAACACAGGAGGGAAATGAGCAGGTGGACGGGGTCCTCCCCACTGCGAATTCACGTTCCCGGTTTCCTGAGCGACCTTCTCGCTTGCGGTTTCAAGTCAATCTTTCGCACTTGACCGGTAGCGATGTTAAGACGGCTAGCGGAATCGAGAAAATCGCTCCGGGAGCTGGGAGCGTGAAATCGCACTTGGGAAAGCCCCGCCCACCTGCTGATTTTCCTCCTGTGTTAGAGCCCTTTTTCGCAGTTTTCGCGCTTTCCAATGTGGATTTTAGGATTCAGCATAGCGAATAGGCACGTATAAGCACAAAATCTCAAAATCGAGTTTTTGCCCGGACACTGCCTTTAAGATGACCTGGACATCGTTCGGCAATCGACTGTAACATGTCGACGATATGCAACAACATGTCGGCAACACGTGTTGATGATAGATTCGAGGTCAACATGCTGATGCATGTTGCCAACATTTCAGCAAGCGTCCCGCAGGTCAGAGACTTACAGGGAGAGGATACGTAGTCGAAAGCACCAATCCAGATGAGACATATCATCTTAAAGCGCTTGAAACGCTGATTCTAAATCAGTTTCTAGTTGCAGAGCGGTTTTGTAGAAGGAGTTATGAGGGGTGTTCCTCTCTGCGGTCTCCCCTTGTCTATGAGCACTGTAGAGGAGTATCAGTTGATGGCAACTGGCCTAATGATAAGTAGCTTTGATGAAGACTACAGTAAGGATTATAATACTCGTATTACTTTGGTTTTTTCAACACTTCTAACTTCGATTAGCATTAATATCATTAGAAATTTCAAGCATTAGGCCTCTAAAGCCATTTAGAAGCTCAGTTTTTGCAAAAACTGCGATAAAGTGCATGCAGAGGGGATTAAAACTTTGACACCCTCCTTATCAAGCAAGTCAAGCACTTACCACTAGCTCAGTTGCCACAGTTGGTACTTCTTTACAGTGCTCATATGTAAGGGGAGACCTGGTGGAGGGCGCTTCAACCCCAGAGGGAACCACCCCTCACAACTCCCTCTACAAAACCGCTCCGCAGCTAGAAACTGTAGATTTGGAATCAGCGTTTCAAGCGCTTTAAGATGATATATGTCTCATCTGGATTGGTGCTTTCAACTAAGTATCCTCTCCTTCTTAGGCCCCGGTCAGACTTCACGCGACTTAATCGTTGCGATCTAATCGCCAAGATTTCCATTCATTTTCATTTCACATTCAAAAATTTCGGTCTGGAAAAGTATCACAACCGAATGCAAGTTGATCGGCATGGAATGATGTTGTAACAGTTGTTTCGTCGCGATTTAGTCGCGACGATCAAATCGCGTGAAGTCTGCCCGGGGCCTTAGAGCAGGGGTAGCGGCAATTGTGGAGTGGACGGTACGTGTGCCCTTGCGCGAAAGGCAACATATCCGTTGCCTTTCGCTCACTAGGCAAGTATCCGAACTTCCATCTCTTGATTGTTGTATAACATTTCACGAAACTACTGAGATTTGCGTTTGTTGTTTCGTCTGCTCGTCTGCCCTAGAGTAGGCGAAGCACTGACGACGTACGCCCGCAGCGGTTTTTGATAGCGAGAGAGTACAAAAAACAATGCCCTGGAAGGGTTCCTTCATACTACGCCGCGCACGCCGCGTACGCCGCTGCAGCGCAATGGAAATATGCTCACGGCAGCAGAGCCCCACTTTTCTGATGTATCTCTATATTTGCTGCACATTCGTGTCCCTCAATAGTGTTCCTTCACATTATGCATTTCTTTTTCTCTTTTGCTTTGTTTATCCTGTCTATTCTATGTCTATATCAATGATTGATGGAAGTACTTAGGTTGTTGTGCTCCCTCTACTTTTGAGTTTCACATTTTTTATCGTAACTGACTGCGCATTGCGTCTGGTTGTATATTGGTAGTATATGGTTGTATGCTGTATCTGGTTGTATATTTGCGCAGTTAACATCTTCTTACAAACGCATCACTGGATGAGAAGGATTTCTCTCCTTCGTACTGTTAGGCTGCAATTGCAAATTTGATGCGCCGTTGTTGCCGCAGTTTGTAATCTTCGCTCACAAAACATCATTCAAGTTTTGGCGCTGACTTCACAATTCACAATGTTAACGTGTCTGGGGTCAAAACTGTACAGAAACAAATGCTGAAATGACGCTCGCAATAATCTTATATATAAAGCTGAATGTCTGTCTGTCTGTCTGTCTGTATGTATGTATGTCTGTACGTATGTGCGGAATAGAAATTTTTATTTCCGAACCGATTTGGACCAAACTTGGCACACATATACTTCGGGGCAGGGAGCGTGTCATAGGCTACTTTTCGTTATCGATCGATATCGATTTTATCGATTTTTTGCAAAATTTGAGCTACGGGGCTGGGAGTTGGCACAGGGGGTTAATCGAGCATGCTGATTACGAATATAATAATGACAGGGCCGCGCGGAGCCGGGTTTGCCAGCTAGTCTTATATATAAAGCTGAATGTCTGTCTGTATGTCTGTGTGTCTGTATGTCTGTATGTCTGTACGTATGTGCGGAATAGAAATTTTTATTTCTGAACCGATTTGGACCAAACTTGGCACACATATACTTCGGGGCAGGGAGCGTGTCATAGGCTACTTTTCGTTATCGATCGATATCGATTTTATCGATTTTTTGCAAAATTTGAGCTACAGGGCTGGGAGTTGGCACAGGGGGGTAATCGAGCATGCTGATTACAAATATATTATTGACAGGCGCGGGTGGAGCCGGGTATGCCAACTAGTAAGCAATTATAGAGATACTTCAAAAAAAAGTGGAGCTCTGCTGCCGTGAGCATATTTCCATTGTGCTGCAGCGGCGTACGCTGCGTGCGCGGCGTAGTATGAAGGAACCCGAATGGAAGTGTATTGACAGATTAGTTGTGTGCGGTGATCCGCCTACTCTATCGTAAGCGAGCGCCTTATATGTCATCTATAAAATTGTGACGACGATTGTGACTGCGGTCTTTGGGCCTACAGGGGCACAAAACGCTCATACGAAAAGGCATCGTCTCCATGCTCAGTCACCTTCAATGTCTAAATGCTATCATGTGCAAGCAAAAAACCATTCGAATAGAAATAAAGACCAAGAAAATGCGGTTATCGGAATGTGTGCGCGTCGCGCGCGGTCGCGCCGTCGTCACGATTTTTCGAATGTTTCATATGTTTGTTGGGCTGAAAATAACTGGCAGCAAGCCAAGACTGACTCACCACAGATATGACTCGACAAAGCGAACAGGCTTCAAAGTGGAAGGCAGGCGCCATACTTGATCTGCTTGATCCGCTTCATCCACTTCGTTATTGGTCAAATCAGCCAACTGATCAATGGCGAAGTGGATGGAGCGGATCAAGCGCATCAGGTATGGCACGTGCCAAAGAAGCTATTTTTGGTTGAAAGGCGTGCAGTGTGTCAGTTTCAAAAGTTTATTGTTCTCCAGTGTTCTGTATTCTTTTCAGTTTCTCTTGATTTTCAAAGTGCGCTCGTTAATGTTGATTTTCATATGTGATTTTGAGGACTGAAGTATCTTGGAACCAGAAAGGAGGAACGGCAAGCTTAGAGTCCAATCTTCCTCGCACTATTCATCCCAGTTAGCTATACCCTGGATCTTGGCCATTGTTGATCTGTTATGAACGGCACAAATGGCACCATCAAGAATAATAGTTGGGAAGAGGAGGATAAAGTGGTTGAAGTAAGTATTGTTTGTGTATAGAAGTGTTAATGGAAGCCTACTATGAATTCAATAATTGATATGACTTACTGGGAATTGATTATGAGGAACGAGCCATGACGTGGTCCACCCTTGATCTGAATTTTTCCGATTGTTCTTGGACGTTTGTTTATATAACTTTGAGACATGTTTCAACCTTTGATTCAACTGGATTGGCAAGGGGGGGGGGGGGGGCTTTGTGACCCAGTTAAGGCCGCTCGCGCCCGCGTTCTCTGATCATCATCTTGCCTCAACTACTCAGACAATCGCCGGGGGCAGGCGGGCACCGGAAAAAAGATTGCTGATCTCTCGCACCCCGCTCGCGGATTATTTGGAAAGCAATCAGGACTTTTTGGAAGACCGCTTGCTGAGTTCTCGATTCCTCAGAGATTCAGCAATATATCTGCAAAAGATAAGAGCGAAAAAAAATTCAACAGGCGGTCCTAAAAAAATCCGCTGACTCAGCAAGCGGTCTTCCGAAAAGTCCTGATTGCTTTGCAAAAAATCCGCGAGCGTGGTGCGAGAAATCAGCAATCTATTTTTCCGGTGCCCGCCTGCCCCCAGCGATTGTCTGAGTAGGTCACAAAGCCCCACCTCCCAGCCGCCAATCCAGTTGAATAAGAGGTTACATCATCTTTTATCTGCACAACCTCTGGCATGTCTGTAAGGGCCACCTTGTGACTTTATGGATTTACGCTGTCGAAAGCTTTGTTTTCTCCAGAACGGCTTTTCACTTTCCAAGCAGAGATGCCATCAGTTGTACTACTCTTATCACGAAACCGCGTTGATTATGAGAATCCCATCACGTATCAAACTCTTGTTTCAGTTTCCCGTACTTGTTGAGAATTTTCATAGGAAAGAATCTGTTCTCAAGGCATTTGAGAAATTTTCAGCCAATATCTTACTACTGCTTCAATAGGCATGTGCGGCAACAATTCTCTATCGAAAGCGAAGAAATGCGCGATTACTTCCGTCCACTCCGAAGCTTGCTGCGCTGATGAAGACGAATCGTAAGTTCTTCCATGATACTGAAACAGTTCATGTTGAATAGCTCGCATAACTGTTGGGGAGAGGGAGGGAGGGGGGGGGAGTTTCTCACCCACTCAGACAATCGACGGGACCCCTCCGCCGGACCCTCCGAAACTGCCAGAGTCGCGCCGGACCCAGTTGACCAATGAGAGAAGGGCAAATGGGCGGTCCATCGCGGTGCATCACTGGCAGGCAAATGGGAGGCTTCTCCGGCCCTGCTGCAAAGGTCCGCCATTTCTCCGGCGCGACTCTGCCAGATTTGGCGGACTCCGCGCCGGAGAAATTTGGCGCGGCGCGTGTCCGCCAAATTTGGGAGAGCCGCGCCGGAGAAAATGGGAGGGGTCCGGAGCAGAAATGGGAGGCCTCCGGAGCAGAAAATGGGAGGTATCCGGAGCAGAAAATGGGAGGTATCCGGAGCAGAAAATGGGAGGTATCCGGAGCAGAAAAAGGGAGGTATCCGGAGCAGAAAATGGGAGGTATCCGGAGCACAAAATGGGAGGTGTCCGGAGCAGAAAATGGGAGGTATCCGGAGCAGAAAATGGGAGGTATCCGGAGCAGAAAATGGGAGGTATCCGGAGCAGAAAAAGGTAATCCGGAGCAGAAAATGGGAGGTATCCGGAGCAGAAAATGGGAGGTATCCGGAGCAGAAAATGGGAGGTATCCGGAGCAGAAAATGGGAGGTATCCGGAGCAGAAAATGGGGGGTCTCCGGAGCAGAAAATGGGAGGTATCCGGAGCAGAAAATGGGAGGTGTCCGGAGCAGAAATGGGAGGTATCCGGAGCAGAAAATGGGAGGTATCCGGAGCAGAAAATGGGAGGTATCCGGAGCAGAAAATGGGAGGTATCCGGAGCAGAAATGGGAGGTCTCCGCCGGAGAAATGGGAGGGCTCCGCCGGACAAATGGGAGACCCACCGCTGGGGAAACGCCGCGACCCTGCCATTTCTCCGGCGGAGGGGTCCTATCCGCTGCCTGAGCAGGTGAACGGCCATAGGTTGCCGGCAATGGTTGTCAGCGTTGTCGGTGTTGTCGGGGTTGTCGGGGTCAGAGACAGTTTAGAGAGCGTGCGAAACCTGGAGGCTATCATGAGGTCACAACGACCGGCAACCCGACAACACCGACAACCCCGACAACACTGACAACCGTTGCCGGCAACCTATGGCCGTCCCCAAGTGATGCGACTGTTAGGCGCATTCGGATTCGCTATAATTACGAGCTCTTCAATAGCCAAGACATTGCAAGCCCCACCCTTATCCAGTGTCGCCTCAGATGGCGAACTCGGGATTTCAGAGAAAGTTTCAAAATCGAAGTTCATTAGCGAAATCGCTCCAATCAAGACCAAATTTCGGATCTAGAGGTTTTCGAGCTTGCTCCTTTCAGTAGTGAGATTTGTTTGTTGCAGATCAAAGATTCAGCGTCAATAATGCCCAGACAAGATCAAAATTCGGATTCAGAGATTTTCGAAATTTCCCTTTTCATGACAAAACCGAAGTTCAGGTATACGAGCTCTCAAAATCGCTTTTTCGCTGAAGATGTATGTTTTATGCGATATCAATAGCATGTTGATATGAACATTTTTGGAGATAAAAAATGTTTGTCTCACACCGAATGACTTCCCTAGAAATAAGATGCCAAATGCAGAAATACGTATGTGATTCCGAATTGGTTTTCTCTACATTCAGAAGAATATGTCAGGGTACAGCCCTGGCAATGACCCAGCCAGGTATTTCTTGAAATATCGCAGGTCACTGTAGTCATTGAGGCTTGCCCAAGGCCAGAAAACTTCATAGTAAATCTGAATGGTGTCAAAAAAAGAGAACAACATTTTCATTGTTTTGAAAACAAACAAATCAAACTGCCACGTTCTTTCTTATCTTTGCGAGCACCCGTAAACCTGAATTTTGCACCTGTTGAAAAAAAAAGAAATTTCGACTTAACCTGACTTATCTCGGTGAGGCATTATCGGTGCTGAACTTTGACTTTGCATCAAGCAACTCTTATTACTGAAAGAGCAACCCCGAAAACCCGAAATTTGGTATTGTTGGAGAAATTTTGCTAGTGAACCTCGAATTTGCGATTTTTTTTGAAATTCTGTCTCAGCATCTGAAGGGACAATGATTAAGAGGCGGGGCTCGCAATGTCTTGGTATCTTGGAGCTCGTAATTATAGCGAGTTCGAATGTGCTTGGCAGGCGCATCACTAAGGTGAGAATACGTTTCGCGTGAGAAGCTTCTCACACCATAACTGCTAAACGAATGTTACACTGTAACTTGAACAGACTGGTACGTACAGGCTATAATCTGGTAGATTCCCTCCAATAAACCATGCAGTGGCTCTATCCGGGGAATCCTCTTTGAGAAAATACTGTGTTACAGTACTGTTATGATACTGTGTTTTTTTTTTGCGATTGACCCTTATTTGCCTTTAGAAAAGCTATACAGAGTTTTCGCCTTTTTGGAAGAACGTAATCAGCATCACTTACCACATCAAAATAAACTGATTGTCCAAATTTGCAGTTCAAACTTGTGAGCAGCTGCCTCGATGCCCTGTGTTCTGTAAGGCCTCGGACATACCTTATGCGATTTCAGTCGCGACGCGATTTGGCAATACTCCAAACGTTCATAACTCATCGTGCGGGGTTTCCGGATGTACGGAAGATGGGACATTTTATCAATCTACGAAAGTTATACATGCTGTACATTTGGGGTCTACCAGTATTATATTTGAAAACATCTGGCAAATTGCCAGATCGCGTGGCGACTGAAATCGCGTGAGGTATGTCCCTTGCCTAAGATAACCAGGCTACCATTGTATTACTGCATAGAGGTTACTCTAGAAAATTTCGTTTACACCTAAAGAACTAGCGTGCATACACGCATATGCACAAAAGTGCTAAACGGCAGTAAGGGGGTGCATACGGGCATATGCACACGGTCGTCAACGTGTTAACCTTATATCTTGGAATAGATTCAAACATTGAGCGTTGAAGGTCAAAAATCCGCGAAAACGCGACCAATTGCAGTTCGTGAATATTTCGAACATTTTTTCACCGAAAGCCGTCAAACTTAGCAAGTAGTGGCTTCAGATAGTTACTAGGTTAGATCACTTTGTTCGCTAGTTTTGAAACTTAAAGTGGGCTCTTGTGTTTGTCCTCCGGGAAAATCTCCGCCTCTTGACTCTACCGGGGGAGGAGGGAGAGGGGAGGGGGGGGGGGGGACCGTCTTTCAACGATACATGTTGGGAAGTAGCAGGGATGTTCAGAGCTCTTAATACGGAAATCAACATAGTAAACTCTGTCCAGACTGGTTTGCATCGTGAACATTCAGGCGTTTTCCAGGCTAGTCTTTAATTCCTTACAAAAAAAAACAATTTTTTTGTTTAAGCTCCATTTTGTAGGCTAATAAAAAGAATTCTGCAAGTGGACTCAGTTCATTGCAGACTTCATTTGTGAACCAGCGTTATTGTACAAAACTGCGTCCTCTGCTCTTTGCATAGATAGTTATCATGTTGGTAAAGACTGCTGTCTTGTAATTCTTTTTTTTTGCAGAGCTTTGTCGCTTGCAACAGATGATGAGACAGTTGATACCAGCAGAAGGTCTTCGTCCTGGTCGCGGAGACGAGAATGTTTTTGACCCTGACGAGTTCGAGATCTTCATTTACAACCCGTTCCGAGACAGCTCTCAGCGACGTTACCGGTTGTATCGGTAAGCGTTTTCTCTAAAATATCATTATCGCCACGCAATATTCAAAGCGATGCTTTTGTATAAGGTGGAATGGCTGTTTTTCGTTGTTACGCGAGCGTACTTAGTGGCGGTAGGACGATCCAGACCGCAGGTTCCACTGACTTAGCAGAACAACTGGTAAAATATAAATGGTCTATCACAAGATATGACAAACCACAAGAAGAAGTTTATATGCAAATACAGAGAATAAGAGTAGCTAGATAATATACAGAAGAGCTAATACAGAACAGTGAATATTGAGGAACTGTCGAAGAACTGTTGAGGAACTATTGAGGAACGAACTAGACATCTTAGAACCGAAACACGAGATATGGTGATCCGTACATCCCATGGGTTGGGTTCAAGGCTAATAGTGTGACAAAAAACCTAGGCCGGGCGCCTGGAGGCTACACGTCCCCCCTTTTCGTAAGTGGCGTCCCGACACTTAACAACACCTAACCTAACCCCCCAGAATTGGAAGAAAAACTCAACATTAATACACAATAACAACACAACAATATGAAGCAAACACAATACTACCGTATACCAACAAAAATGACAACACGGTTACAATCTTGATTTCTTCTTCCTTGTTTTTCCTTGTGGTCGTTGTCCAAACGGTCCTTGTCCAAGCGATCCTTGTGCATGCGATCCTTGTCCATGCGATCCTTGTCCATGCAATCCTTGTCCATGCGATCCATGTCCAAGCGATCTTCTTCCAAATTTCTGACACCGCAACAAGTGTTCACTTCTTTCCGTTTGATTTTGTTGTGTCTTTCCACTTGTGCGACTAGTTCGGGAGGGATGTGCCCTGACATAGTCGACCATTTCAAGAAAATCCCAAAATGCGCGAGGGTATCCGGTGCATCTGCACACTTTCCCATACCGCTTCGCATTGACACTCTTGAGTTTCTTAACATTCTTGTTTGCAGATGCGTTGGAATCACCTTCATCTTGCTGTTCCACGCTTAGCCGTTTGACATTGACGAATCTATTCTTTGGCTGTTGTTTCTTTTTCAGCTTGTGCATCTTCACAGCTTTCGTCGACTGCTTTATATGGGTGGCGGACTTTATGAACGATAGCGCGCGCTTAGGCAGGCATGTGTCAATAAGGTGCGCACCGTTAGCCCCGCCTATCGCTAGATGGACGAGTTTTCTGCACTGGAGCTTTAGCACTGGTTAACGACCATGTTCCTTAGCTTGCTAAAGCGCTTACTTAAAGCTTACTGAAAGCTTACACCCTCTTGATAAGAAGGTATAAGCTTATTTTAAGCTAGGGAGAAGCTTGGCTATCTATAGAATTTTCTTATTTTTCTGAATCAACAAGCTAATAATGTGTTGATCATGAACTTCAAGAGTTTTGCTGATTTACCTATAAATGACCGAGTTCCTTACTGTCCTAATTTGGAGTGTGAAACAACCTAGAATGCCTCAGGCTTGATTGTCAGAGTGACCTCAATCATACGGCAAGTTCATACGCAATTTCTCTTAATTTACAAATCGAAATGTATCAAATGAATACATTATCAAATAAATGATGTATGCAGTCATACTCTTACTCTTTTGACAAAAGAGATGATCGGCCATTGGACAAGTTGATTTTTTCGAACGAAACTTGATGTACGATAAAATATTCAATATATTGAAGCAGATGCAAATAAAGTGAATTGAAACTTTTGTCAAGCATTTTCGAAACAAATTTTTATCATACCCCCTCAAAGGAAATTCGATTTGGATCAACTTACTAGGAACAAAAAATTGAAATGGATTAAAAAAGAGCCCGCGAAAGAATTTGAAATGAAGGATGATTGTGAAAGCTGATTTTCAAATTGATTGGAATTTTTGAAATCTACTTATAAATTTCGAATTACAAACAACTGAGGAAGCAGAATGAAACATTAGCGACTTTTCCAATAGTTGAATCGCATTCCTAGGCTAATTAACAAGGAGGCGGAGCGATCAGCGCAACGCATACGGTACCCAGCTGGCGGCTGGCACATGCTATCGTTCATAAAGTCATACACCCCTTTATATCGGCCAATGGTTTGTCCAAGATTACGTCTTGATTCTTGGAAATGTGCTTCATCTTTCTGCGCTTTGTGCGCCTTGTTTCTTCATCTCTTTCTTGGCCCTTCAAAGGTTTCCTTCCTACTTTTGGCTTCATCTTTCCTCCAAGTAGTCTATCAGTTCGATATCTTACTACATTCAAAGGATCTTTTACCGAGTCCCTGAGCAAATCGTTATTGGTATCACTTCGAATCACTTTGACACCAAAGTTGCATAGGACATTTGTCCCCAAGATCAGATCATTTTCTAATGACCTGGTAACATATACCGGAATCTTCTTGGACTTGCCAAACAATTCCGTAGGCATCTTGATTGCGTCCAAAATTTCTATTCTGTTCCCAAAAGCGTCGCGTATCGTAGCATTAGATACTACTCCTGAGATTCTCTCCACATAAGCGTATAGATCGACTCCAGCTTCTTTGGCCCTCGTGAACAGCTTTAATGGTGCTATAGACACCTCGGAACCAGTGTCTATAAGTGCGTTTACTTCCATATTTATCACTTTTGCCAGCACAACTACCTTCTTACCGACAAATTCTTCAGCACTCTTCCTGGCACCTGTGGTAGCGCATAACCACCTATCAAGAGCAGTGGAGAACGAAGATGCCTTGTGTCGTTCAGTTCTTTCTGCGTTGCCCTTTGTGGCGTTCTGCAGCGTGCACTGTCTTTTATGCCCTGATTTGCCACATTTGAAGCAACTACTTTTCTCCTTGCCTTTTACGGTCAATCTTTCTCTACTTTCACCATGATCAACGGCCGACTCCGAATCAGACCATTGTCTCGGTGAAGCTTGATTGCCATAAAGCTTTTTGCTATGCATATCGCTGCCCTGCTTGACTTCCTTTCTATGCAGGTTTCTCTCCAGCCTCAGCGCTGCTTCTTTTACTTTGTCATAAACGACATCTCGCGGGCTACTCTCAATCGCTTCAGCCAAGATATAGCTTCCTTCCCAATTAGCTGACTGGGAATACAGAAGTTCCGCTTTCTGGAGTGCCACCCCATCCCCTTTTTCTTCATTAGGGTAGGCTTGACCGCACGTCCTCTCCAGTACATAGCAGAAATCACTTACTGTCTGATTTCTTTTCATTCTCAGATTCCTTAGTGTAGCCAAGGCTTTTACACGAGAAGTGTTGCCTCCTTCGACTGACCTTTCGCTCATCGCCTGACTACGCCGTCAAAGGAACCTTCTTTTACACTCTCGCGGTAGTGTCTCAAATATTCAAGGCTTCCCTTTTCAGAAAACTTTTGGAAAGTTGTACTAGTATTTCATCATCCCAATGCTTCCTTGGGTACTTCAACAGGAATGATTCCAAAAAGTTGCTGAAACTCTCATTTGCTTTACCATGAAAAGGTTTTACGTCTGGTACTGTAGACGTCAACATGAATTCTCTCATGGTAAACTCGGAATTGGAATTTTGTGACGCATCTTGCAATCGGACATTATGCACATCCGTGTCCAACTGTTATCGATTGCTTCTGCCCAACTCTAACCTGTGCCTATGCGAGGAGGTCTTCAGTGCATTATCTTGCGCATTTTGCACTGTCGGCACTTGGCGATCCGATGAAAGTATGTTACCTTCCTTATTTAGGTTCGCAAATCTTTGGTATTTACGTCGAACAGTATGATTAGAGTTGCCTTCTGAAGTGTCTGTTTCCCGATCTGCATCATTGTCAGATGGGTTCATGCTAGCTCCATGACAGCCGCAAACTCTGCTCAAGTTTCTGAGCTTTAACCTGAGGCACTGAACCTCACTTGACACTTCCTTGGCCTTTTCCTCCAAGTCTTTCTCACTGCAGTCTAGCGTTGCACACAGGGTTGCAATTAATATACAGTGAGCGAAGTATTCATTAAGGCAACATTTCAGGTTTTCTGGTGACATCAACCCAGCCTTTGCAAGGACTGGTGACCTCCAATATCTCAGAGTCACTCTGCGTTACTCCTAGGTCACCTCTTGTGCGTACAGAACTTTCGAGGATTGCTCTTAATTTCTGTTCTGCGATTTCGATTTGTTCTTTTAGCTTTGTCAAGAACGCTTTTCTGCGTTTGTCACCTGTGCGAAAAAATGTGCTTAGTTCTTTTTCGCACTCTAGTTTACGAGATTCAAGCTGTCATGTACTTCCTTGTACATCTCTGCCATAGACGGGATTCGCTTTTCTCCCCGTTCACTTATCACCTCGTTATCTGTACACGGCTGGGCTCTATGTTCCTCTTCCTCATTCATCATGCCACTCAAATCTTTATACAACAAACTCTGTTTGAGTGTAGGACTCGATCGAACGCTACAAGCGAGCGACGTGAAACTCGAGTACACACAGCAATGCACCGAGTAGCTCTACCAAACTTCCGTGAAGTATGGTTCTGCGATGCTAGGCACTCGCAGTAGTTCTTGCAATTCGTATAAGCGGCCTTAAAGGCAGTGGACGGGCAAAATGGACCCCTGTCAGATTTTGGAAGTTTCGGGTAGTGGACCCTCCAAGTACACCGTAGCCCCAACCCCACCTTCCAATTGATGCGCTAAGTCCGGAAAAAAGCGCTTCAAACTTCCACCAATAACGCCCACTCAATGGAAGTGGGCGGGGCTGGTGGAGTTTTGAAGCGCTTTTTTCAGGACTTAGCGCATGAAGTGGAATGTGGGGTTGGGGCTACGGTGTACTTGGAGGGTCCACTACCCGAAACTACCAAAATCTGACAGGGGTCCATTTTGCCTGTCCGCTGCCTTTAAGCGCGCTCTATACCGTCAACGCTAATCGACCAATAGATCGATAGGTTACGTGGGGATACGTCCACCGCCTCAGAAATCAATATGGGGACCACTGGTGCCCCAATCTATCGGTCTAAGACGCGGTAGGCTTATGCGGGATACAATCGCCGCTTCAAATCGATTTGGAGGTCGTTGACGCTCCAAAATTCAGCTTCTTCTGGAAGGTCTTCGACGCTTCCACAGTTGTAGGTGCTAAGTCAGCGGTTCGGCCCCCAAGTGGCGGTAGGACGGTCTAGACCGCAGGTTCCACTGACTTAGCAGAACAACTGGTAAAAATATAATGGTTTATCAACAATATGACAAACCACAAGAAGAAGCTGATATACAAACAAAGAGAATAAGAGTGGTACAGAAGAGCTAATACAGAACAGTGAATAGGTGACTGTCGAGAAACTGTTGAGGAACTATTGAGGAACGAACTAGACATCTTAGAACCGAAACACGAGATATGGTGATCCGTACAACCCATTTGTTGGGTTCACGGCTAATAGTGTGACAAAAAACCTAGGCCGGGCGCCTGGAGGCTACAACTTCCACTAAAACATCTTTGGTCCAGACTCACAATGACCAGCTAGGCATGACAGTGACCACATTACATTGCCCGTACTTTGAAGACGTTCTGAAGATCTGGCTTTACATTCGACTGCTGGATGTATACACGATTCATGAAACGCAAAGACTGGGTCCGTTGCGTCCTGCGAAGTTAGCCCGTGCATGGGAGAGACAGCAGATGGTAAGAGAAACGAAAGAGTGCTCAATCAGAAATACGCCGATACGTCCGCAGTTTCTGCGTGCTATAAATCGCCTATATGAGGGATTTCAGCGAATGATAACGGCAATGGGCTGGACTTTGTTCGGCGGAGGGTGGAGGGCACAGTATTTTTTTTTTAAAGTGGAGGAGCTTGGCATTAGTTACACCCTCCGAACACCTTTTGATCTCTACTTGCGGAAAAAGACATTTCGATTGGACAAGCAGGGTATATCGCTGCTAGGCCTTAATGCAGCCAAAGCGTAAAGAGATCATCTTGGAAATTTAAACGAGACGTCGAAGAGAGGCTGACTTCCCCCTTCAGATAATCTACAGAACCCTGTCATTTCGAATTGGTAAGAACAAAACTCTTCGGTTTCAAAACTTATTCTTTTCTTGTTCATCCTTGGTAATCATACTTCCGAAACATGGTGGTTTTTGGAATAAACACAAAGAAAAAAACTAGCATTTCCTTGTTTTTCCCGTGTTGTGGATTGCGTGGTCCTGGAGCGAAAACGTGCAATGCTGCCAAATGAAAGATTTTAACCAAGGAATATTGCGGAATCACGTTCTTTCTTTCTTAGGAAGAATCAGATTGATCAGATTTGTTGCAGAAATGCATCAGTTACGCGCACCATTGAACGCATTGTTGAAGAAAAACGTTTTTTTCCAATGGACGGAAGAATGTGAGAAAGCATTCAATCATGCCAAGGAAGTTCTTACTTCTGATCTGCTCTTAACACATTTTGATCCGAGTCTTGAGATATTGGTTGCCGTTGACGCTTTAGATTACGGAATTGGAGCGGTAATACTGCATAGAATGCCGGATGGAACACAAAAAGCAATGTGCCATGCCAATGTGCCATGCAAGTCGAAGCCTCACTGTTGCCGAAGAAAGCTATGGACAGGTTGAGAAGGAAGGACTCGCTTTGATATTTGCAGTTCGCAAGTTCCATCGCTACGAAGGCATCGATCAAGACATCGAAGTAACCCTCCGCCGTTGTCGCAACTGTTAAGAAGCCTCGAAAGTGCCTGTGAAGACAGAGCTGTGCTCATGAAATTTGGAAAAGAAACCATGGAACAGGGTACATATCGATTTTGCGGGACCTTTCAACGGAAGATCGTATCTTATACTAGTTGACGCATATTCAAAATCGTCAGATGTTTATGAGATGTCATCCACTTCAGTCAAAGCTGTTACAAACATTAAAATTGTTATTTGCACAGTTTGGCCCACAAGTACTCGTTTCAGACAAAGGAAGCCAGTTTACGGCCAAATAATTTCAAGATTTCTGCAGAGACTGTGGAATCGAACATATCCGTTCACCGCCATTCCATCCGCAATCAAACGGTCAAACAGAACGTTTCTTGAACACTTTAAAAAGAATATTGCAGAAAATAAATGAGGACTAATAATTCTTGTAATCGGTTTAACTCCAATAATCCAAATTTTCGCAATAACTCTCGTTCACCAAACCGTAACCGGAATAGCAACCAAAATTTTTCTCGAAGGGGTAATTCGCATGCAGTTACTCTATAGCAGCTAATTTCTCCACAGATATCACTAGTTCTGTAAATTCTCTTTTTCTCGTTGCGATAATTGCGCTAATTTTGCTTACTGCTTATGCATTCTCAATGGTTTATCAATTATGTTCATCTGGTAAATCAGGCTGGCCTGTAGTCTCTCCTGAAACTGTTCCTTGCGCAAAGCCGACCAATAACTAACGTATTGTTAACAGTGGCTTCCGTGTTTGTAGAAAAAACAACAACTACGCTAGGTGCATTTCATTGTTCCAATAAAACTAGGAAAGTTTGCGCGTCATCTTATCTACACATTTACTTCTCGCTGAATAGCGATAAGGAATTTATGTCTCCCATCGATACAAATCTCTGCCATAATATTGCAAAAACCAAAAAGTATCTTGGTGAGCCGTTACGCATATCTTCGCCTAAAATGTTTTGGTTCACAGCGTCCTATTTATTACTCTTATCCCTGGTCCTTAAGAAAATTTTTTGAGAAATCTTTGGATCTGATCTACTCCTGGGTTATGGAACTACAGGTGTTTTGTTTTTATTTGTAGATAACTATAGTTGTTTATCAAACTTTATTGAAATCTAATGTCTTTTTGGAAGAGATTTTTCATAGACGTGGTTCCTGCCCCGCCAGATTCTCAATTTTGGGGTTATGGGTCCGAGATCATATACCACTTGACAGACGTTGAGCTTTGAAGAGAAGTTTTTGGACTTGAATCCATTTTTGAAGTTTTGTTTCAGTGACATCTCCAAGGGAGCGGAGGTTTTTCCTGTGCAAGTCTTCTCGGACACTGAAGACTATTCAAAGCCGGAACCTTTTGAATACATACAATCAAACGACTACTCTTTATACAAAAGGGATGCTTTGAGCAAACGAGAAAAGCCTTTGTTCAAGGTAATACTTTCTATCAAAGATATTCCGTTGTAGGAGTATGAATGACCCGCTCTTGGTTTTCGAACCCTCTTTGTAAATCAGAGTATATTACACGCTTTTGATCTAGATAGGGAAAAGATTGGGTTCTAGTTCCTCTGTCACTGCAGTTAGAATATCTTTAGTGCGGAATGAGAGTAGAATGGAATTTAGGTTAGATGTGACTGCGTTGATCTGATTTGTGGTGATGACTGCGCTTGTCGACTGATGAATGATAGTCTTACTGTTTGTACGATTACGGTGAGGCTTCATACATTTGAGATATTTGACTCTGACATTCTCAATCAGACAATTAACATCTCAGCTAGAGCTTTACTTCAGGGTGATGGACGGGTTTTTCACAATTCTGACGCTACGTTCTTCAACATGCTGATTGTGGGATGTGGGAAAAAATGCGCTTGTAAAGGCCAATGTAGGAATACGCTGACCGCGACGTCTTTGCCCGCGCCGTTTAAGTGCGTTTATTATTTTCTTTGAGATAATGTTAATGAAGTTTCCTTGTTTTGTTTAGTGAGAAGCAGTGCACCGAATTTGAAGCAGTGCGGGTCTCCACAGATTTGGTTAAAAAATCCTCAAAGGCTGTGGCTCGGCAGATTGACAACTCTAGGATATTCATCGTTCTTTTTTCCTTGATGGGCTGAGTCTAAAACCGTGCTTTGCAGCTTTTGAAGATTTTAGTAATCAACTTTTCTGGACTTGAAAGCTGTTGTTCGGGCGGGCAGCGGAAGCGGCCGGCCCCTTTGTAGAACAATTTGCTGCTGAAGCCAATAATCCAAATGCCGTCGAGATAAGCGGGGTGTCTCTACCCATCCGGACTCTATGAGCCAATCTCATGTTCAAACAGCAATTTCTATGTCCGGAAAGGTGATTGATCAATGTCTTAGAAGCTGTAAAGTACAGTTTTGGACTCATTCAGTAGAATCGAGAACAATAAATACTCTAAAGTCGCCAATCTGCCGACCACTGCCTTCGAGTCCCTAGTCCGACTCAATTAGATCCCCACTACATTAGAACACCACATACGAAGTGACCCGCAGAGATTGACTGATCCGCATCGACTTGCCGATCTTCCCCTTTTCGTTATTGCCATCGTAAAGGAGGCAAGGGTGAAAAGGCACATCGTTCGTGTCCTTCTGCGGAGCTTTCGATGCTGCGTGTTGGAGATCCGTAATGTAATGTAAGATTCTCCATGTTTTCTTTTTAGATTTGAAGTTTTCCGCAGGAATGACGAAGTCGGGTTTGGCCTGCGCACTTTAAGTAACATACCCCAAGGTAGGAATCGATAAAGCGCTTTTCTCTCATCATCCATCAAATTTTTTAGGTTGCGCAGTTGTGGAGTTTTGCGGAGAGATTCTTGATGTATGCCATTTCAGAGCAGCTAAAACTTATGTTATTTCCTTAATTGCAGGAGAAACAAATGGCTTTGCGAGGTGCAGAGTCAATTAACTATGCGTTCTGCCTTCAGTCCTATGAGGAGAATGAAATGTTTCAAAGGCTTGCCGCCGTAAGAAACGTAAAAGTGAGCTGTCGTTTTATATTGAGCTACTTTCATATGCGAAGGCCATGATCATCGGTTGCTGCACTGTCCAGAAACTGTTAGGCGATGAAAGTTCAGTCCCGCATCTGTTGTGCAAACTCACATCACAGTTTGCCTAAATCCGCGTGCTGGGTTCTTATAATATTTATATTGTATTATATTTTATTCTATTTTCTTATCCAATACGCTTTCGGCGTTCCTTACTAAGGACAAAAACACACTTACTCGTACAATTGCAAATGTTCATCATGTAGTTTAGGTCCAGTCTTTTGAACTGGATTAGTAAAATTATGATGATTGAGCTTAAATTCCATGCTGCATAGAATTGTCAAAACTCACTTGATGTGATCTTTGGAGATGGAGCATGCTATCTTTTTGCCAGCAAAACGATTTTGAGATATTCTAAATCAAGGCTTGGATGGTGAATATACTGTCTAACTTCGCTAAACTAGGCTACCAAGAACAACAATGACTTCAGACTTTATTTAATTAGTATAAAGGTTGTGGTGAACGAATTACTCATACCTGACTGAGACGATAGATCAAATCACTGTAAGCTATGGAGATTTATGTCTACTCGTTTGCCAGCAAAATGCGCTAGAGTATCGAAATAAGCAAAGCGGCGCTCGTTTTACGGTAGTAATTAACCTTACTCAAAGAATTCTGGGGAGAGACCGATGGCTCCGAGAAAATTTCACAAGTTCCACATTTTGTGATTCGATTGGAGCAAGCAAATCAGCGAGCTGTACTGATTGGGAAAAGGAAGCTGTAGTTGATTAGACGTGCACCCACATGATAACATGATCTAAAGAAAGCAGTTTAAAAAGTAAATATTATTAAAACACAAAATTTTAATGATCGTATTCTCCGTTAGTTGGATCCGAGATGTAATCGCACATGGCCAGCCGATCATAGCAAGGCAGATGTCGGACTAGCACCATCTCTAAAAATTTCATTCACTTCTTAGTGTCTCCAGTTTATTCTTGAAAGAGAGCCATTACTACATGCTAGAACTTCATTAGGTACCTTTGGTATCAGCTTTGTTGTACGCTTGAAATCTTTCTTGATTGTTTGTCGCTTTGTTGGTGATAGATGGAAAAACAACACCCTCTCTCAGGGGGTCTTAAAGACCCATTATTTGGAAGGCCTTTGTATGGTCCCCCCTCAGGTCGTGTACGGTAAGAGACTATCTAAGCGAAGCACTTTTGAGCGTTCTTCAGAGTTAGGTAGTGACTGGGGATACGTTAAAGTAGGGAAACAGTGACAGAATGGTAGAAGAACCTTCTGAACGTTTTCCAGAAACTGTTTCTGTTTCATCAAGGAGGAGTTCCACACCTGATTCGCATACTCTAGAATGGGAATAACAAAAGCTTTGTAGAGTTTCAGGAGTGTTTTAGGGTCATTAAAGGCAGTGTCCAAGCAAAAAGTTTGATTTCGAGATTTTGTGCTTACCTGGGCCTATTCGCTATGCTGAATCTGAAAATCAACACTGGAGAGCGCAAAAACGGCAAAAAAAGGCTTTAACGAAGGAGGAAAATTGCAGGTGGGCGGGCTGTTCACATAGTGGCGTCACTCTCCCAGCTTCAGGAGCGATCTTCTCGCTTACGCTAATCGCTTTAACATCACCACCAGCCAGCCGACTGCGAAACGCATGACATAAAATCGGGACCGAGAAGATCGCTCCTAAGTCCGGGAGAGTGACGTCACGGTGTGAACGGCCCACTTGCGATTTCTCTCCTGCGTTAGAGCCTTTTTTGGTCGTTTTCGCGCTCTTCAATGTTGTTTAACGGATTCAGCATGGCGAATAGGCCCGAGTAAGCACAAAATCTCAAAATCGACTTTTTGCTTGGACACTGCCTTTATCTTTAATTCTCTGAATACAGGGTGTCCCAAAAAAATGTTAACACTGTTTGATTGTTAATAACTCCCTTGCTTTCATGTCCTTCGCCGAGCTTTAGGTAGCATTTTGTAGAGCGAGGATAAACTTAGATTTATTGTATGGAGCGAATCATCTAACTCTCCTCGTTACTGTAGAATTATGGGAGAAAAACTTGGCAAGGATTTTAGGCCATTAAAGGCCATTTTCTGTTTCGAAACAGAGCCAAACAAGCTAAAATCTCTTGTACTATGGTAATGAAAGCCGCTCATTTCAGATATGAAATTTCCAGTTTATTATGATACTTCTTTGCAAAGTTATCCTAGGTAAAGTGTAATAACTGACTTCACAGCATGTGTCAAAACTGTGATCACACCGTTAGAAAAGCTGAAAACACTCGTAAAAAGTTGTGTAGTAAAATCAGCGTGCGCGAAAACCCTAGTACACGATTTCTCAGATTTTTTGAAAAAAATTTTGTCAGAGGGCATACTTCACATCGGTTCCACATGCTGGAATTTCTTACCGTAATCCTACAGTAACCAAGAGCGAACATTGATTCGCTCCATACTGTTAATCTAAGTTGAACCTCGCTATACAGAATGGTGCCTCAAACTCGCCGAAAGACATGAAATCAAGGGAGTTATTAACGATCAAACAGTGTTAACATTTTTTTGGGACACCCTGTATATTTGTATTCTTCCGCTTTGTGTCACTATCATCGACGAATAATTTTTTACAACACCGCTAGCTCCTGACCGGGCTTTACTAAGTCCTACTTCGGTTTAAGCTGTTATGATCCCTAATTTTTTATTGCGTGCTACATTCGCAAAAAATCCTAATCTTGAATAAAGTACATGTTCAATCAAGGTTTTGATATGACAAACATCAAGCTCAATCACCCAGATAGCAGCTGTTCAATAAGCATACTCAGATAATCACCGGGCACAGGCGGCCCTGCAATTTATCGGCAGGTGAGCAACGGAAAAATAGTTCGCTGATTTCTTGCGGTCCGCTTGCAGATATCTGAAAGAATATTGGCGAAATTTGAGATGAATTTGGAGAACAATTGCAGCTTTTTCATAGATTAGTTGCAGCGCAGTGGCCGCATCCTCGCGGACTTTCCGCGAGAATATCCAAAATTGTTTAGGGCCGCACGGTCCTTTGTGAAAGACCGCACAGCTCTAGGTACCTTCTGCTGAGTAATGCTGAGTAAAGGTATCCCAAACTCGGGTAATTGAGCCATCGATGATACCCTTGCCATGTAGAGTTATACCTTTGCTGGCATAAGCCCGAAACTGCGTAAAAAGAGTACGAGCGCTTGCTGAAACTTCGCTTAAGGAGCTTATTTGACAATCGCTTGCATAAAATCTTGTGTTGCTGTCCGCTAGCAGAAACGGAAGTACCGCTCGCTGAAGGTTTGGCCATGCTCCAAAATTTTGCTGACCGCTTGCAGAAATGCGCAAGTTTGCAGAGCGCCTTCCTCCGGCGATTATCTGAGTAGCTGCGATAGTGAATGGAAGTTGCAAGAAATTTCCGTAACACGGAGCCCCCTCAATTAAATCTTATTTTGCTCATTCAGTAAATGAATTGGTACATGATTAACTGTCGTAGCTCAAAGAAATACGCTTGAATCTGACCAATCTACTATATAAAGAATCGTAAGCTGCATTCAAAAACTAACAAATAACGGGAAGCCGCGGTGCGGTCCCGAAACGCACGGATGCAATCTAGGACCTTCAATTCCTGCTGGTTCACTAGTTAGCACTAAAATTTTCTATCCCAGGTTTCGTAATATGACTAAACGAGGCGAGATGGTCAGAAATTTTGAAGTAATATCTATAAATGTGTGTTTGTTGTCAGAACAGTGTCGTTGAGACTGAGTGGTGCATCATCGAGAGATCACACTTTTGCTTGTGCAAAGTATCAAAGCAAATTTTACCTTGTTCGCTAGGGTAAAATTTACCCTAATGAGCGGTGCATCTTCAAGTATATTTTACTTTAAATTGTATATACGCGTTAATCCCTATCATATGTAAAATTTTAACTTAAGGTAAATCTTAATCGATCAGACCGCGCCGGTACGTCTAAACCCGCCGAATCCGTCTGAACACGCCCGATTCCCCCCGAAACCGCAAACCGTCTAAATCCTTCGCATCCGCCCGTAACGGTTTGAATCCTCTCCGAATTTGTCCACCGCCTGAGACGCCGGAACTGCCAAAGCGCAGGAGATATGCAGATTGGCATAACGGAGCACGCGTGGAATACTGCGCGTGGTGTATATATCTTGATCAGAGTAGCTCAACGTTACGTACCGATTTTCATTTGCAACTACTAGGATATTACAAGGATCAATCGACTTTGCCTTCTGTCCTGGTATTTCGTCTCATGTTGGCTGACTTTAGGTGAGTTTCATGACAATTTGGTGCTTTAAAGCTAATTAGCCGTTCCGGCGCCTCAGCCGGGCTCGGACGGATTTGGGCAATTTTAGGCGGATTCGGGAGTGCTTGAAACTGCCGCTGCCCTCTGAACGACGCCTTACACCCTTGAAAGACAAACCATGTGCTTTGCAAATAGGGTAATCTTTTCCTGATGCAAAGATTTACATTCAATTTGAATTTTATCCTCAAGTTTTGTCTATGATTACGTTCAAGGGATCCACTGAAACTTGGCCCACGCGGATTCCTTGCATGCTAAATATAAAAATGGTACTCATTATATTGGGGTCCTTTATTGTGCTTACTGTACATATACGAGACAGGTCAGTTCAGTGCCCTTGCTTTTTGCTTGAGAGGATAATTCGACAATCACCCTTCAGTAGACCCCTTTCCCCCCAGGTATGTGTGCCAATCCGAAATTGGGCTTCAGGGTAGACAGAAGGTTCGCAGTATCTGATGATCATTGTGCGGGGCGAATCTATGACAATTTTAGATACATTAAGAAAAGCAAAGTGGCGCTTTTACTTTCCTTAGCAATTTTCTCGGTTCGAAATTCAAGCAGAGTTTCGCAGCGAGACTTGAGCAGTTGCTTAGTTAGGGGCCTCGCTATTATACAGCAGTAGAATTTCGACACTCTTAGTTTGGATGGACTGTGCTTTCGGAGTGTCTGAACGAAGGAGAATGTCACAAGTGTACGACTTGCCGTGTTCTGAAACTTTTTTGCATGTTAAACACTAATTTTCAAGTCAATTGCATATGATTTTACAGTGTGAAGCCTTTAGCGCATGGGATAATGTCGCCTTCATTGACCCGAAGAGGAAAGGCAATATTGCCCGTTTTATATCGCATGGATGTTTTCCCAATCTTATCATGTTGAGGCGAGTGTGCTTGGAACAGTTTAACGAATTGCTCACTAAGTTTTCAGATATGCCGAAAACGACCTTCGACTTAGCCGTTCTCGAGCAGTTTTGTTCGCCTCTCAACCTATTTTGGGAGGATCAGAAGTAATTGTATAGCCTTCTTGTGTAAATGTCTGGAATCAATATTATAATATCAAATTCAGCTGTTTTTTGACTACGGAAACCAGTATCTGTCTCGAGCTGGTTTCAGCTGTCAGTGTGGAACGATGTGGTGTGATTCGGTTAGAAAGCTGTGGCGCTCGCCGTTCCCTACTCAGGAAGAGGTATGTTGACGGCATTCTGTCGCGACAGTTTGCAATAGGAGCACGCTAGTTGAGCATGTTATCATATGTAATATCACTGCGTTTGCTTATAGATGACGAGAAAGGCGTTAGCTTACTTCGCCTATATCGAGGAACGCATTTCTGACTATGATGTGAGAGCAAAGAAGTTCCTCAGGGGAATTGGAAAGATAAAACCAGAATATGGTAAGATCTACGAAACAAACGAAAAAAAGCTCAATAATCTCGATAACTCGACGGATTGGGCGGCGCCGCGTTAGGCCTTGGACAGGTTCGCGCGATTTTATCGTCGCGATTTGATCGCCGCGATTTTCATTCATTTTCATTTCACATTTGAAAATTACGTGCTGGAAAAGTATCACAACCGAAGTGCAATTGATCGGCATACAGTGAACGCCTAACAGTTGTCTTGTCCCCATTGAATCGCGACGATCAAATCTCGTGAACTCTGCCCGAGACCTTATGGACCATAGCTACGCCGCATTTGCCTGTGATATATCCTGAGGGTCTTTGAGTTGCGTCGCTTCTGATTGCAGTCGCAGAGGAGCTAGCGCTACCGAGCGGATTGAGTCATTTTCCTCATCCTCCATAGATAAAGAGAACAAAATGATAAATGGAATGTTAAGCGTATTTCAAGGGCGAATCAAATACAGAATATGAGGAAAAGGTGTCTGCAAAGAAAGCCAAGAGAATGTATTAGGTCGTTCCATAAGTTCGTAGCGTTTTCAATTTCGTCGTCGTTTTCTGGTGAAGCAGCTGGTTTACGTCAATTTATCTGGTATTAATCGAGGCAGCCAAATTTGTTCTACAAAACCTGCTTGTTTTTTTAAAGCAATCCTGATGATTTTTGGTTGATAATTATCAAAGCAAAGTTTTTTGAGTGACAGAAAATGGCCATTTCGGCTCCTGTACTTTTCGCATTTCGTCCAAATCCCACAAATATTTCTCTGCATGTATAGTTGGGATAGCCAGTAGTAAGCAAGGGTAATGTGCTGACAAAGTGGTGCCCAATCTATATTCTAAGAACTATTTGAATGAGGTTTCAAAAGTTGCTGTCTTCGACTGCTGCAGCTTGAGTACGCGTCGTTCCAAAACAGAATGTTCTCGTCTTGCTGTCAAGCCTTGAGCGATGAACAGCTTTGTCAAGGTGGTGCAAAAGTTTGAATGCAACCGGTGACCAACGATTTTGCGCTTTTCTGATAATTTTTGGCTCAGAAAACTTCCTCATTCCGCCCCCCCCCCCGCAAAACATCTATATCGTAAAAGTGCGCTCTGTCATTTTCTGTAGCGTCTTCCTTGACAAGGATTCTTGTTCTACGTGCATCATAGTCCGGTAAACAGTCGTTCTTCATCACTCATAAAAATTTCGAATGAAAATTTTCCTCTCGTAATTTCTTATATAGCGCCGAAGGTGGAGATGCCGAAAACGCCATTTTTTGCTGCACATAAAACACTGCTTTGAGCAGTCACAAAACAAAGGTCATCAGGGTTTACTTTGAAAATGAAACGCAGTTCTTGTAGAGTAGAATTGGATCTTTCGGAGGGTACACATATTTTGTGGTAAACCAACCGCTTCACCAGAAAACGACGACAAAAATAAAAACGCTACGAATTTATGGAACGACTGAATAAAAGATGAGGAAATCAATTTCTCTTGGAAAGCCATTGACGGGAAATTTCTATCCTTTTCCTCTATCAATTCTCGTGTTCCACCTCTCTTGAACACTTTCAAGTCAAATTCAGCATTGGATTCATTCCATTTTCAGTTTGATTCATTTCTAAAATTGACCTATTTTTTGAATTTTCTAAATTGCAGTCTTCTTTGTTTTCTTTATCGCATTTGTACAGTTTGAACATATCAAGCTTAGTAATAGGGAATGGCTCAATCCGCTGGCAGGAGCAACGCTGCTCCTGCGGCTGCAATCAAAGGCGACGCGACGCAAATGGCCCTCAGGATATACCGCAGGGAAATGGGCGTAGCTTTGCTCCATAACGCCTGCCCCGACGGATTGCCTCAATGTGTAGTTTTCAAAGTTGATAGATTATAGGTATACTAGCTGGCCGGTTCCACCAGGTCCTGTCAGTAATTTATTGTACTAATCAGCATGCTCACTGGGGAACGGTCAGGAGTCACGGTCGGCGCGAATTTTTCGCGAAGCGATGCCGCAAGCGATGTCAGCAAAACGGAAGCCAGCACTCCTGGCGCGGTCTTACTTATGGCACGAGCCATGTATCTGCCCCCACCTCCTACCCCCCTAGACTGGCGCCGTGCCACTTTAGCACCGGGCAGTTTTATGGGGTACAAAATTTAGACGCGGCGAAGCGGCGCGGCGCGCGGCGTGACTCCTGACATGGAGCCTGCTCACTTACCCCAGTATGTCAACTCCTAGCCCCGAAGCCCAAACTTTGCAAAGAATCGATGAAATCTATCGACAACGGAAAGTAATAACATGCGACACCCTCCCCGCCCTGAAGTATACGTGTGCGAAGTTTGGTCCGGATATTTTAGAGATAAAAACCTCTATTTGAATTATACATACACACAGACAGATAAACAGACATTCAGCTTTATACATAAGAAGATATGACCTGTCCTCAAGGGAAGTTCTAGTTGTTTTGCATTAGTGAGGATATTTTGTATGATGTGTGGGTGGTGCGCATCGTGCTTGCAGCTCACAATCTTTCCCAGGTAAACAATAAGTAAAGCCGTTTTGAATGAATAAAGCGTAAATAATTATTCATACTCATTGAGCCTGTCTATCCTCAAAGGCAGTGTCAGAGCAGATTTGGGAGTACCTCAATCTTAACAAGTTATCGAAGCGGTCTACCCATGCAGACACTGCTCAATTGCGACGGCAAAATATCGCTTCTGATGCAAAATACGGCTTCAGAAGTCTAAACAAATACTATCCTCGATTCAGCGTCATCCTTACCGAAGCATGAAATCGTGGCGGATACGGACACCTTGCTGCAGCCAATGACAGCCTCGCAATTATCTTGTCCCAGCACGTCTTCTGCTTCGTAGGAACGAAACTTAATCAAGGTCGTTTCTGTTCAGACTTCTAAAGCTATTTACTCGCCCCAGAAACAACAATTTGCGATCGCGTCCGGTCTATGGTCTACATAGGGACCCCGCTTAAGTAATCTGTTAAGACCTGAGGTGCTCTAAAATCTGCCCGGGCACTGCCTTCAAAGACAGCATCCAGGCGAAGTTTTGAATGAAATTTTTTCCGCTTATCTGGTCTTAATTTTCTATTCCAAAATCAGCATGGAGAGCACGAAAATGTCAAAAACGGATTTTTTAAGCCCTTGATTGAATTTGCCTGTCGCCAAGATTAAGACGATTATTGTGGGAACGTACGTCTTGAATGTGTGCGATATGCGCGTCTGGCCGCGAGAATGCGGCCACTGCGCCGCAACCAATTTATGAAGAAGCCACAATCGTTCTCCGAGCATTTGTACAAATTCCGCCAAAATTCTTTCAAATACCTGCAAGCGGACCGCAAGAAATCAACGAACTATCTTTCCGGTGCCCGCCTGCCTGTAAACGCATGGCCGCCTGCCCCGGCGATTATCTGAGTATGAGCTCGAAACTGTGTGAAAGAGGTCAGGGTGGATTATTTTGCAAGTTGTGGATAACTCTCACAAGCTCCCGACCCACTCTCGCCCTTAGATGCATACTCCATCTTAGTTATCATCGGCGGCATGTTGCATGGGTTCGCAAAGTCTTCTTCGTAAAGGCGGTGTTCGTCATTGAGAGGACTCTACAATATATGCTCCGGTTGGCCAAAGTGATGAATTTCAAGCTGCTTATCTGCGTATGCATTAGGGGAACTGGAGTTGATTGCAGTGTTTTTAGTGAATCGAATTTATCTTCTGTTCATTTTTCAGATGACCTTGACGAAGTGGCTACTGTCATCCACGGAAGTCCGTCCTCTGTGTCACGGTAGGTCTATGAATGCTTTCTATTATCAGAAGGTCCAACATCTTCTGAATGTCCTTTATGATCAGATTTTCAGGATTGACCCTGCCTGCGTCCATAAACGGGATGGGGAAGAGGTCTTGGCAGGTCTGTTTCACTGTTTACAGATATTATGCTTTATTTGCAGATGCCTGTTATCTGTTACAACTTCTACTGCAAGAACCTTGAAAAATGCACATGTAAAGCGTTACAAAACGTTGTTACAACAATCACGTTGGAATGAGTTTTCGTTTGGAAGCGTTTGAACTGCAAAGTTTGACAAGAAATACAGCGGCGAAGCCTCAATCTTCAGCAAAATTTTATCTAATATCACTAAGATTGATGCTACTATAATCTTAACTTATGACAAGATATTGACATAACATTTCAATGTACCAAATTTTGGCGTCATTCATCTAACCTATTCTTTTTCGGTCACACAGTTTGTTTATAGTCCTTTTGTCCTTTTTAGATCACACTTGCCTTTCTTGCATCACCGTATGCACTTGAAGTTACCTACTGTGATTCGCAGCAGTACAAATCGTGTAATCCCTTGTCATTCACCCTGCGTTTTGTATACGGGATAAAGTTTGTGTTTCATTTTTTGTCGTAGAAGTACTTTCGATATTAGCTGAACGGTGCCGCGCCATGGCCTTTGCCGCTCTTGCCGTTCTCAATTTTGTGCCCGAGAGAAACATTGGTGCTAAAGTGGCACTATGGGGACTAAGGGATGGGGGTGGCGGCAGACACATGACCAATGCTATAAATAACATGGCGCCAAGAGTGGTGGGAAGAGCAGTCTCTTGGAATGGTGAATATCGGGAACGACCCTTTCACGGAGTTTTCGCGGAGACTGTGTGTCATGACCCGTTTCCGGAAAGAAGGTATGCAGGATAAAGATTTTTCTGCCTTTATGCCAGGATTGTCCCTCCTTCGGCATTCGAAGCTAGAAGGAAAGGAGCAGATTTCTAGAAATTAATGTGACAGCGTCAGTAAATCAGTAAGTAGCAGCTTTCATTGCATGGTATGCAATGAAAGCTGCTGGTCACTCATAGTTTGCAAATAGGAAGATGAAATTATGTGCTGCTCCTAACACATTTACAACTAGACAGGTTTTTCGATTACTGCCGTTTCGGACAAGAGGTTTTTTCGCTTTGTCAAACTTACGACCCACCCGTGGGTCGTAATGTCCAAAGTGGTAGTGTGTTGAACATAGGAAACGAAGTGATACTCAGAACTATAATCGTCTAATACCACTCGTCAGCCAAAACCACAAAGATTATCTGCCACGCGGGTTTTGAGCGGTTGGACACGAGCGCACCTTAAACTTGGGTAATTAAGCTTTATCAGAGAAACAAATAACAACGACAAACACGGATGGAACAAATAACAAATAATGTTACTGAATGATAAGCTAAAAATAGGAATGATATCAGAGGTGCGATAGTAGGAGCCGATTCTCCCCCTACCTTCACTTTTGAGCTGGTACAGGGTGACACCTTTACTTTTGGAATAAAAAATTCTTCGCTGGACGACAAAGAAGGAAAATAAGCAAAACAAACGCAAAAAAGATTATTGAAAGCATATATCTTATATTGATTTTTCTCTCCAGGTTGTAAACGTGAGCGTGAGAGTGACGTTGCGAAAGGAAGCTGTACAGCGATGACTGGGGCAAGACAAAATTTTAGCACGATATGATCCACTTTTCCGCCAAATTCTGAGAAAATATTCGAAAATCTCGCTTTTGGGAGCTTTTCCTCTGGGTGAATTTGATCTTTCTCTCCAGGTTGTAAACGTGAGCGTGAGAGTGACGTTGCGAAAGGAAGCTGTACAGCGATGACTGGGGCAAGACAAAATTTTAGCACGATATGATCCACTTTTCCGCCAAATTCTGAGAAAATATTCGAAAATCTCGCTTTTGGGAGCTTTTCCTCTAGGTGAATTTGATTTTCCTCTCCAGGTTGTAAACGTGAGTGTGAGAGTGACGTTGCGAAAGGAAGCTGTACAGCGATGACTGGGGCAAGACAAAATTTCAGCACGATATGATCCACTTTTCTGCCAAATTCTGAGAAAATATTCGAAAATCTCGCTTTTGGGAGCTTTTCCTCTAGGTGAATTTGACTTTCCTCTCCAGGTTGTAAACGTGAGCGTGAGAGTGACGTTGCGAAAGGAAGCTGTACAGCGATGACTGGGGCAAGACAAAATTTTAGCACGATATGATCCACTTTTCCGCCAAATTCTGAGAAAATATTCGAAAATCTCGCTTTTGGGAGCTTTTCCTCTAGGTGAATTTGATTTTTCTCTCCAGGTTGTAAACGTGAGCGTGAGAGTGACGTTGCGAAAGGAAGCTGTACAGCGATGACTGGGGCAAGACAAAATTTTAGCACGATATGATCCACTTTTCCGCCAAATTCTGAGAAAATATTCGAAAATCTCGCTTTTGGGAGCTTTTCCTCTGGGTGAATTTGATCTTTCTCTCCAGGTTGTAAACGTGAGCGTGAGAGTGACGTTGCGAAAGGAAGCTGTACAGCGATGACTGGGGCAAGACAAAATTTTAGCACGATATGATCCACTTTTCCGCCAAATTCTGAGAAAATATTCGAAAATCTCGCTTTTGGGAGCTTTTCCTCTAGGTGAATTTGATTTTCCTCTCCAGGTTGTAAACGTGAGCGTGAGAGTGACGTTGCGAAAGGAAGCTGTACAGCGATGACTGGGGCAAGACAAAATTTTAGCACGATATGATCCACTTTTCCGCCAAATTCTGAGAAAATATTCGAAAATCTCGCTTTTGGGAGCTTTTCCTCTAGGTGAATTTGATTTTCCTCTCCAGGTTGTAAACGTGAGTGTGAGAGTGACGTTGCGAAAGGAAGCTGTACAGCGATGACTGGGGCAAGACAAAATTTCAGCACGATATGATCCACTTTTCTGCCAAATTCTGAGAAAATATTCGAAAATCTCGCTTTTGGGAGCTTTTCCTCTAGGTGAATTTGACTTTCCTCTCCAGGTTGTAAACGTGAGCGTGAGAGTGACGTTGCGAAAGGAAGCTGTACAGCGATGACTGGGGCAAGACAAAATTTTAGCACGATATGATCCACTTTTCCGCCAAATTCTGAGAAAATATTCGAAAATCTCGCTTTTGGGAGCTTTTCCTCTGGGTGAATTTGATCTTTCTCTCCAGGTTGTAAACGTGAGCGTGAGAGTGACGTTGCGAAAGGAAGCTGTACAGCGATGACTGGGGCAAGACAAAATTTTAGCACGATATGATCCATTTTCCGCCAAATTCTGAGAAAATCTTCGAAAATCTCGCTTTAGGGAGCTTTTCCTCTGGGTGAATTTGATTTTTTCCTCCAGGTTGTAAACGTGAGCGTGAGAGTGACGTTGCGAAAGGAAGCTGTACAGCGATGACTGGGGCAAGACAAAATTTTAGCACGATATGATCCACTTTTCCGCCAAATTCTGAGAAAATATTCGAAAATCTCGCTTTTGGGAGCTTTTCCTCTGGGTGAATTTGATCTCTCTCCAGGTTGTAAACGTGAGCGTGAGAGTGACGTTGCGAAAGGAAGCTGTACAGCGATGACTGGGGCAAGACAAAATTTTAGCACGATATGATCCACTTTTCCGCCAAATTCTGAGAAAATATTCGAAAATCTCGCTTTTGGGAGCTTTTCCTCTAGGTGAATTTGATTTTCCTCTCCAGGTTGTAAACGTGAGCGTGAGAGTGACGTTGCGAAAGGAAGCTGTACAGCGATGACTGGGGCAAGACAAAATTTTAGCCGATATGATCCACTTTTCCGCCAAATTCTGAGTAAATTTTCGAAAATCTCCCTTTTGGGAGCTTTTCCTTCAGGTGAATTCGATTTTTCCCTCCAGTTTGTAAACGTGAGTGTGAGAGTGACGTTGCGAAAGGAAGCTGTACAGCGATGACTGGGGCAAGACAAAATTTTAGCACGATATGATCCACTTTTCCGCCAAATTCTGAGAAAATATTCGAAAATCTCGCTTTTGGGAGCTTTTCCTCTGGTTGAATTTGATTTTTCTCTCCAGGTTGTAAACGTGAGCGTGAGAGTGACGTTGCGAAAGGAAGCTGTACAGCGATGACTGGGGCAAGACAAAATTTTAGCACGATATGATCCACTTTTCCGCCAAATTCTGAGAAAATATTCGAAAATCTCGCTTTTGGGAGCTTTTCCTCTGGGTGAATTTGATTTTTCTCTCCAGGTTGTAAACGTGAGCGTGAGAGTGACGTTGCGAAAGGAAGCTGTACAGCGATGACTGGGGCAAGACAAAATTTTAGCACGATATGATCCACTTTTCCGCCAAATTCTGAGAAAATATTCGAAAATCTCGCTTTTGGGAGCTTTTCCTCTGGGTGAATTTGATCTTTCTCTCCAGGTTGTAAACGTGAGCGTGAGAGTGACGTTGCGAAAGGAAGCTGTACAGCGATGACTGGGGCAAGACAAAATTTTAGCACGATATGATCCACTTTTCCGCCAAATTCTGAGAAAATATTCGAAAATCTCGCTTTTGGGAGCTTTTCCTCTAGGTGAATTTGATTTTCCTCTCCAGGTTGTAAACGTGAGTGTGAGAGTGACGTTGCGAAAGGAAGCTGTACAGCGATGACTGGGGCAAGACAAAATTTCAGCACGATATGATCCACTTTTCTGCCAAATTCTGAGAAAATATTCGAAAATCTCGCTTTTGGGAGCTTTTCCTCTAGGTGAATTTGACTTTCCTCTCCAGGTTGTAAACGTGAGCGTGAGAGTGACGTTGCGAAAGGAAGCTGTACAGCGATGACTGGGGCAAGACAAAATTTTAGCACGATATGATCCACTTTTCCGCCAAATTCTGAGAAAATATTCGAAAATCTCGCTTTTGGGAGCTTTTCCTCTAGGTGAATTTGATTTTCCTCTCCAGGTTGTAAACGTGAGTGTGAGAGTGACGTTGCGAAAGGAAACTGTACAGCGATGACTGGGGCAAGACAAAATTTCAGCACGATATGATCCACTTTTCTGCCAAATTCTGAGAAAATATTCGAAAATCTCGCTTTTGGGAGCTTTTCCTCTAGGTGAATTTGATTTTTCTCTCCAGGTTGTAAACGTGAGTGTGAGAGTGACGTTGCGAAAGGAAGCTTACAGCGATGACTCGGGCAAAACAAATTTTAGAATGATATGATCCACTTTTCTCCCATTGAAAATATCTCTGAAAATGTTAATTTTGAGCGGTTGTGGCAATACATGTACTGATAAATTAAAATTTCACTTGAGAAAATTATAGGTATGAAAGACGTTTATACAGGGTGTCCCAAAAGTAAGTACACACTTTTCAATCGTCAATATCTCTCTTCCCAATGGATCTTTTTTGGCCATTCAAGTACCATTCTGTAGAGGGGGCTTCAACTTAGATCACAGTATCGAGCGAATTACCGATAGCTCTTCATTACTGTAGGATTGCTGTAAGAACTTCGACAAGGATTCTAAGCCATTGGAAGCCATATTCTGCCTCGGAACAAAACCAAACAAGCCAAAAACTCTAACACTATGGTAATGGAAGCCGATGATTTCGAATATGAAATTTCCGCTTTACTGTGATGGTTCTTTGCA